TTAGGATCGATAGGGGTCTTAATCCTGATCATATCGGTATAATTTTTTTCGGGTGGAAATAATATTTACTGGTGTTATTGTAGTTCAAAGTACACAAATGTAGAAAAAGCACATCGATATTTTGATAATGAAAATTTTTAATAAAAAATCACGATTTTTTATTAAAAATTTTTGCCTGCGACGATTTTTCCATAAAAATCAATACTTCGATTTTTTATTAAAAATTTTCGCCTGCGGCGCTTTATCCATAAAAATCAATACTTCGATAAAAATTTTTGCCTGCGACGATTTTTCCATAAAAATCAATACTTCGATTTTTTATTAAAAATTTTTGCCTGCGCCGCTTTTTCCATAAAAATCAATACTTCTGTAAATAATGAAAATTTTTAATAAAAAATCGCGATTTTTTATTAAAATTTTCGCCTGCGGCGCTTTTTCCATAAGAATCAATATTTCGATAAATAACGAAAATTTTTAATAAAAAATCGCGCGATTTTTTATACAAAATTTTCGCCTGCGGCGCTTTTTCCATAAAAATCAATACTTCGATAAATAAAGAAAATTTTTAATAAAAAATCGCGCGATAAAAATCATAAATCATAAATCCCATAAAAATCAATACTTCGATAAATAACTAAGTTAACATTTTTATTACAAAATCTCTCCATTTTAGACTGAATCACTTTTTTTTATCAATACATCGATATTTAATTAAAAAAAATTAATTACAATGCCCGTTTTTAATGTTCCTCGTTTTCAGTGCTTTTTTTTGGCATTTTTTGTTTGTGTGGCAGCACCCGCATTACCCGCATTGGTTTACGAAGCAAAAAGTGAGGTTGAAGTTGACATTTTTTGCCACTTAAAATTCAATTTTCATAAAAACTATAAGCCTCCTGAGGGTGGGGTTTTCAGATTTACAATCACAAAAAGCCGCTCTAAACCCCCTTATTTTTTTTTTAATAGCCGCGTTCCGTATTGGAAAATTTTCCCAATTTTGGAAATTGATTCCTTTAAAATATGTATTTCTTGTTTCGCACCGTGAAACAGTTATTGTAATACATTTTTCTTAGTTCACTTGTTTATACAGTTAATATGTGCATACGATAGTACCGTGTCAACGGTACACTTTCACATTTCCATTTGATCGCAATTTTATTTCTTTATGTCCACGTGTATTACTTGAAGAAAGTAATTTTTATTTAATAGTATTATATTCCCTTGATTCAAAATTTTGATTTATATTTAATGAAGCTTAGTTTAAAGCTGTATGTTATTTTTAATGAAACGACATCATTTTTGTGTATTTTAATCTAACATTTGGTTTATAAAAACTCGACAGGTCAGCGCGACCATACTCGTCGAGGAGCCATTTTGAGCCGACTGGAAATAATTACTGGTGTTATTGAATTTCAAAGTAGAGAAACGTAGGTATTCTGCACTTATTCCCAAATTTTGTTATTATATACCTGAACTAATCAATTCCTTTTGAATGGGTTTCCATTGTCGATAGGAAATAAGTTTCGGGTCTACTCCAACATCACTTCCTTTAGGCAAATTGTTGGAGAGCCATTTACCAACAGATGGCGTTTCCGGAATACCATCCCTCATAAGTTCCCAGTTTGTATTCATCTGTTTTTCTGCTTGTTGGTAGTATCTTCCATCCGTCCACATTAAAGCCCTGTTTAGCGTAACTACTGCTGTTCCGGACGATCCATCAAAACCACTTACGAAAGTCCTTCTCGCATCGTGTTGGCAAATATATTCATTTTGATGGGCATCGTCAGTTGGAATAATATAAGCCTGTAAATTATGAGGCTCACATTGCTTCATAAGAGATCGTAATTTTTTTAGAACTTCGTTACACACATCCATTTCTTCAACTATTTCGTTAAAAGCAGTCCTATTTGAAGTATATATATATACTTTAATCTCCTAAATAAAATACAAATAGAGATTATTCCAGATAATTATTCCCGATAAGATTCACGTACTCAATAGTAATAGGCATGGGTAACACTGCGCTGCGCGGCGCAATTGCGTTAACACCGTATCCGGAGTTGCCGCGCCAATACCAGTATATGGAAAGCGCTAGCGCCATTAACACCAAGCAATACATGAAGCACACACACCATTCACCTTTACTCTATGGAAATTTACACCTACTTTGTTTTTGCTTTTGTGTGTTGAGAACGCAAATTTAAAGCTTTTACTCAAGAATGATAGAATATCGTGACATTTACTACATCCCTAGCAATTAAATTCAGTTGGCGGTACAAGCGTTGCTTAGCGTGCAAGCGCTCAGCGAAAATTATAGAAATAATAGACATGACACCACTGTACTGCACTGTATGACGATGGGTACTGTGGTGACACTCAGATGGTGCCGTGTTCAATTCAGTACATTGCGCTATTGTGCTGGGTTAGTGCGCTGACACCACAGGTGGCGCTGGCGTTATTGAGCTAGCGCCAAAAAATTGCGCATGACCCATGGCTAAATAGTGTGGCGAATACTGCGGCAACACAAAGCGAACAACGAGAAATAGG